TTTGGACGTCCTTCGTCGCGGCGCTGTGACGTATGCGGCCGACAAATTCGACCTTCGGAGGACCCGTCCTGCCGTTTTGGACACAGCCTGTGGTTACTTTTGTCTCAGGCTGATGATGTCATAACAAGGCCTGCACACCTTTAGCAAAGGCTGCATTCCATTCTTAAATATATAAATAGAAACTTCCACATTTAGGATTAAAATTTTACATTTAAATATACACATTTGGATTTAGGATTTAATATTTAGATATAACATTTAACATTTAAATGTAACATTTAGTAAAACAATAGCTAAATGTAAGCAGGGAGCTAAATAATAAAATGTTAGTAGAAATTTTAAATTAGGATTTTACACTCAAATTGAGCTAAATAACACTGTATTAGTGACATTTTTTACTGTAGTCCTAATTTAATTTTTGTTCATTTTTCTAGGGACAAGTGTCACGTATCAACTGTACCATTCACTAAGCATTTAGAGCCTAGTGCCAGTGGTGTCACTCAGGTCCTCGAGGCCTGCTAGCATGCATGCTTTCCTTGTTTCTCTGCTCCAACACACCTGATGCAGTGATTCAATTACCTCTTCAAATTCTGTAGAAGCAGGTTAATCATTCATTCATGCAAATCAGATGTATGTATTTGAGCAGAGAAACAAGAAAACATGCTGGATAGCGACCCTCGAGAACTGGAGTTCGACACCTAGGCTAATTGGCAACGCCAGTCCCTGTCCAAGTGTTTATTAAACGGAAGGTTTTATCTTGTAGTCTACAGTCTGGTTCCCCTCCCTCTTGTAAAGTCAGTCCTGTGTGAAGCAGGTCTCAGTTCTCGTACCTGGTGTTAGGACAACAACACGGAGCTGGCTGGCCCTCTCCAGCTCCAGGTTGAAGGTGTGGTTTAATGGGAGGGCGGAGCCTCTCAGCGTCAGGAGTGCCGTCCTCGCTCTTGTCACACCATCAATCTGGATGGCCAAAAAGACTTCCTTGCTATCCTCGGACCTGAGACCATGGACATGCACGGAGACAGGGAGAGACCATGATTTGGAACTTTTCAGACACAGATTCGGTTGAGCTGCAGTTTCACTAATGACCACAAGAGGCCTCTGTCATTGAACACCTCTACTGGACTACGTTTGTTTCAGGTGTTGGTGTGTGTTTTAACCTGGTGCTTTTCATGTCCTTCAGACCCAGCAGGTGGACCGTCAGTAATCCCGTCACTCGCTGACTGCACCGCGGTGGATCTGAGCCTGTGTACAACTGGAAAGAGCTCACGTCACACCACGATGTTTCCTGGGTCACTGAAAGTCCGGGGCTCTGTTGCCGTGGCGGAAGCTCGGGGGAGTCTCCGTCACTCAGGTACCCTGACAGGAAACAAGACTGTTTACATTTTGTTCCTGGGATCATGCAGGAGAGTCTAATGTAAAGAGTCAGATCCACAAATCCAAATTCTAATGTGCACATCTTTAAATGTGGGTATACATCTCTTCAGAACTCATGGCTTCTTGTCCAGAAGTAACATTTGATTAAATCCTTATTGTTTGTCTGGAACCCCAGGTGTCGACACCCCAGATTGGGGTCCTAATGTTTGAAATAGTAATCTAAGCTATAGGGCTACCATCAGCGGTACAAGATTAACTACTAACAAGATAGAACTCGACACCAAACGTAGCTGATGTCCCCCGTCGCCATTCAGTAATGACCAACTGTTAGCAGTTTTGTTGGAATCATCACAGACCTTCGTTATTTAAATCATCTCACCAGCTTCAGATGTTATCATCCATTAAATGGACCTTATTAGCCGTTATCAGTCCCATAGAATGGCTTTAGACTGGCTTCAGACTGTCCCGACTGTGCTGCCTAGTGGGTTCTCCGTCCCATAGAATGGCTTCAGATTGTCAACTGGTTAGTATGAGGCCTAAAGCCACTAAGGTTTTTTATGCAATCTGGATAATACGAGGCATAAAGCCACTAAGGTTAGTTTTAGAGAAAATGACATGGGCTACGATAAAGTAGACAGGACTCCGGCGGTAGCAGATTGTTGCATTCCAACGTATATGATACTGGTAACCCACTAGGGGGCACTATCGGACAGTATGAAGCCATTCTATGGAACTGATAACCTGCTAGACGGCACAGTCTGGACAGTCAGAAGTCATTCAATGGGACTGATAACTGCTAATAACCTCCATTTAATGGACTGATAACATCCGAAACGGTGTTATAGGTGAACTGACAGATGGATAGATGGACTGACAGGGGACTAAAGTGATCTTGTCAAACTACACAAATGTGTATAGCAGGTCTCCCTTATGATACACACAAAATTTGGTTCAGATCAGATCATGTATGTGTGATTTAGAGCACACAGTATGCAAAGTGGGCGGGGCTAAAGTGATATCAAACCAACACATTGAGTTTAGCAGTAGCCTGGCCCTTGCCTTCCTATGCAGTTCCGCTCAATTCTAGTTTCCCTTCACTGCTCCGTCTGGGTTTTCTCCCGTAGACAAAGATTTCTCCGGGAGCATTTCAGTCGGGCCAATCAGAGAACAGAAGGAGGAGTTTTGAACGACAATGTCAATTTTCTGTGCAGTGTCTGCTTGTAGTTTAACGCCAGTGGAGGAAGTGAATGAAGCCAGTCCATGTTGACAAGGCTTCCAAATAAAATTAAATGTGTCTCTCAAAGACTGCAGGACTTTTTTACAGCCGTCTCGTTTGGCTCGGTAGGGGATGGTTGTTTACAGTGGACGCATACAATTTCTGGTTAGCTTCTTAGCTTAGCCTCCTCCACAGTGAGGCTGGCGCACATGCGACGGCCAACCGTTAACGATTGAGTAAATCAGATCCAATCGTTTTAAACTTCAACCGAGGCCACCGCTCCAGGAGACAATCGCTTCTCAATAGCTGAGAGTCCTGACCCCCATATGAAGCAAAGCAGAGAACAAGGGGCTGGTTTTTACCAAGCTAGTTTAGCAGGTCTCCTTTCTGAAAATCATCTTTCTGAAATCTAATGGACGAAGAACATTTCTGTCCCCCGCCTCGGTGAAAGGGGACACAAAGAAATGTAAAAGTTGCAATAGGTACCAACTTTTGACGATACGAGACCAGTACCATTGAAAGTACCACCCTGGTAGCTTTTGTGCTGCATAAAATACAACTGAGTACTTTACCTTTAGTTGGATTTTGTGAGCCACTGATTCTATTTAAAGCCGTTAAATCGATTTGTTATCCAGGACAGGAACTTATTTGTTCACCTTCTTTTCTGGCTGAGCGTCCTCTGGACGACTGCCGCAGTGGTCGAGCTGGTGGGGTGGAGCTATCCAGATGATACCTGCTGATGACGTTCTGATTGGACAGTGCCAAGGACGATCCTGCGTTCCTGTTGGCCGACTCGTCCCTGTCCTCTTTGCTTCCCTGGCGGTGGGCGCAAGAGGACGAGCGGAGGCTGAGTTTTCGGCGCAGCTCGGGAAGTTTTTTCATCTTGAATGAGAGTTTCCTCCCCGTACCAGGAGACCTCAACTTGTCCATCACGCTCCCCGCACCGCCCACTTTCTTCGGAGAGGCGGGGCTTGTGTCTGAATGGGGAGAATCTGGGGAATACAGTTGATCAGTGAAGCTGCTGCAGTGGGATATAACAACAGGTAGAATCGTGTTTACCTGTGATTTCTGCTGTAATATAATCAGTTTGGTGACTGACACTTGGACTGGCGCCCTCCTGTGGACGCTCACTGCTGCAGCCTTCTGCTCCCTCCACCTTTTCATCCCTCTTTTTCCACACCTCCTCCTCCCTGCGTGGGCCTCCTGCATCCTCCTCCTCGGGGATGGGGTTGTACCATATGTTGCTCCCTCTGTCCTCCATGACACAGAAAACACTGTCTCCTTCCTGGGACTTTCCTGAAGCCAGCACCCACGCTCGGCTGCTGCGGTCCAGGCTCTGCAGGTAGGCCCGCTGGCCCGGCAGTTTGCTGCTGACAGTGGGACTGTCTGTGGCGCCCCCTGCTGGCTGGGAGGCTTCCTGCTGCAGTGAAGAGGTGGGTGAATCATGAGGCGATAACCTGTCACTGTACACCGCAGTGAAGTTAGTTTCAAGTTGGATATTCGATATTCGAGCTCCGCGGAGTAAGCGGCGTTTAGCTCAAGGTTGATCCGATTTATGAACGCTAATGTCGGCCAGCGGTTCTCCACCGCWCCCGGCCGCAGCGCCCGAAGGTTCACTTAGGGACTATCAACAAATTACCGAACCAAACATTCCTGTCAAAAAAAATGATAATAAATGCCTTGAACTGTAACCAGTTAACTAATTGTCAGTGATAATTCATGCTTATACATGAGCCAAAATAGCATCTATAAAATTTTAATGTCATATACAATATTTCAATAATTTTAATATTAAATAATATGTTTTCTTCAATAGCTTCCAGGTCATTTGACCTAATGACTCAGAAATACTCTGAAATTGTTCTACTAGTCTGTACAGATGAGGCACAGACATTTGTTTTCCATTTTGAGCCAATTTTTATTTTTTAGGAATTTTTTTCTTGAAAATTGAAGGTTTTTATTCAATAGCTTCCAGGTCATGTGACTTGTTGACTCAGAATCACTTTGAAATTATTCTAATAGTCTTTTTAGATGAGGCACAGACATTTGATTTACATTTTGAGCCAATTTTTATTTTTTAGGAATTTTTTTCTTGAAAATTGAAGGTTTTTATTCAATAGCTTCCAGGTCATGTGA